CACTGACCTTGGTGTCTGCATCCCTCATATATTCTCAGCCTCGTCCTCCTCCTCTAGCAAAACTACTGTGACTACCACCTTTGTTTTGATTTCTTCTTAAATATGTTTTCACAGAGGCGTAACCACCATCTCCAATTAGCCCAGGTTTGGTCAGTGGCATGTCCATCAGCCTCAGAGCCAACAGCAATTGGCTCTGCTGGACATGGTGGAAGCCTCCAGAAGCTTCTCACAGGAGCCATCTTTTTGGCCCCCCCACTTCCAAAAACTGGGCCAAGCAAAACMAACACAGTGGACATCAAGGCTGGGCTGCGAAGGGAAAAACAAGTTCACTAGACTGGGCATGAAGGTTATCTGGTCCTCACATAGGGGCCATACTGGGATTTCTCTGTCCTGCCCAGATGTCCCTCCCCAGCCCCTCAACCCCTTGCCCTCTCTTCACAGCACTATAATTTAATCCAGCATGAGGCAAGGCACAGTTTCAGCAACTGGGGAAGGCTGCTTTTCCTCTTTGCAAAACAACTCATCTTCCAGCTTGAAGCACTCCTGCTGGGATTCTCTTTCCTTGATTTGCATGGTTTCACAGCAACTACCTAGATTTAAAGTCTGGATTTCTTGGCTGTGGTAGCCAGGATCAGAAAAGGTCAGCCAGCAACTGTGTACTTGGATCTGCAAACAGGGTGGTGTTTGAACTCAAACAACTTCATGTTGTCACTTCTGATTTGAGGGCCACGAGAGAAACAGTTATSCAGTCCTGTGCTGTGCATGAGGCCTGGAACAGACTTAAAAAGGAATGGACCACTCTGAAAAAGACAACTTGGCTGAGGAATTGTAAAAGGTTGACAGGATTTTATTGAAGTTGAAAATACAAAAAGGTCAGATTGTCTCCCATCCTCTCGGCATCCTTCCTATCCAGCATATCAAAATGAAGTGTCAAGATGCACAGTGACAGCTCCAGCTCAGCTGTGAGATTGTTGGCCCTAGTTGTGTCCTCCAGCACTCCACAGATGAACGCATCTAAAAGCCATGCCTATTCCTGGTATCTCAGCTTTGAACAGAGGTCCACTTAGCCTCTTCCTGGATAAGAGGCAGATATCAGAGTGCATGCTGACCTAAAGGTCTCTGAAAAATGTTTCAAACTGTGGCTGCTGCATGTTTAAGCTGAATCCTAATACAGTGACTTCCAAGCTGTGGGATGGGTATAGCTACCAGCACACCACGGTGCAGTACACAGGTGGGAACTCAGATTACTATTGGGCATGTTCATGTTACCTTGTTGCTGTTGGTATCCTACCAATGAGATTTCACGGATCCCTGCTCCAAAACAAAGCAATCTAAATCTTCATTGCTAACCACAGTGGGTTAAGAAGCAAGAGAGCAGCAAGAGCATTTCCCTTCATCCTTCACAGCTGCATCACTTCAGGTTCCCAGCATAAGCCATAATTTGTTTCTCACACTGCATTTAAGGCTCTCCATGACAAGCAAGAGACACAGCATGGCTGAGCAGTGGGTTTGGTGCTGCTGAGGCAGAGGTAAATCCACCTCCACCCCAGCCCGATACACAATATTATTGCACAATATGAATGCACAATACCTCCTGTCACAACTGGACCTCTTGCCTGAGACTGCCAGCAACAAAAAACACAGAAGTTAGTTATTGTGGGGTTTTTTTGCAAGAAGTAGATGTCTGCCTAGAACTGTGCTAAGACTGTCACCCTCCTATCATTATCCTCTCATCAGGGCAGCTCTGACCTGCTAGCAGTGTACCTGGGKATTTTTTGCAAGTGATACACTGTAATATTTAAGCACTGACAGCAGGGACTTAAAAAATGGGTCCAGTGAAAGCTGTTAGTCTAGCCATGAAAACTTTGTATCCCATTTGTAACCAGACACATTCTTTGCCCTGTGAAAGCAGGCTCTGAGATGAGGATTACGCTAGCGCACATTTCTCAAGGCAGTATGTTTGCTCAGCTTCTAGCATGCAGAGTTAAAAGTGTGTTCTCATAGCACAAAGCCTTCTGCTGTTCAAGGCATTCGCTATCTCCCTCATGCAATTGGGCAGTATGGAGGTGGCAAAAGGTGYCTCTTCCAAGCATTTCTGTGATGCTGGCTAGCTGCTGAATGCACTAGTCGGGGCTGGTGACTGCACATGGCATTGACCACCACCTACATTGAGTTACATACTTAGGAGAAGGCAATATACCGCTGGAAAGGGTACCCTATTCATTGCCAGCCCATCTGGTAAAAAGTAGAGCAGCTCTTTTACCCAAAAGTCACAGCTGCAACACTCTTCTCTGTTGCTCTGTTGTGCAAAGCCTGTTGCTTCCCCATGGGACAGCTGTGGCCGCACCAACAGGGACTGAGCATCACTGGAGAGTCTGAGCATCACTGGAGAGTCAGTCTGACAGTATTGGCTCCTAGCAGAAATGTTTAGTCAGCAATCTGGGAAGCAAACTTCAGCTTCCCTTTCTTCTCTTTAAGGCTTCTTCTGCAGCATCAGGAAGGTGATTTGGAAGCCCATTACGTATTCTCCATCTTCTGCATCTGCAGGCTGAGTGAYGTGAAGCTGGCCAGGAGGTCTGTAACCTCATCCACCTGATGAAAGAATAYGGGGGGCCATCAGGGAGGGGAATGCAGCTATGCAGCCCCCCACCACCACAGAAGAAATCCCCATACAGCAGGACCACCCTTGAACTAGAATTGCCGTTAATGCTCATGCTGAGCTTATACCAGGACAGGATCCCTTTGATGCCAACAATCATGCAGAAGTGATACTATCCTCATGATCAAACAAGCCCTAATCTAAGGCAATGGGAGCTTCCACTCATTCTTCAGGAGGGTGATGCTTGACCTCCACTCCGTGTGATTTAGCCAGTCCTTAAAATACAAGCATGTTGCTACATTGCACAAAACTCAACAATGGCRTCAGGGCTGTTTCCTCTAAGCCTGTTTCTTAACACCAGTCTTTTGTAGGAAAAAAAACCCAGGCCCTGCAACCCCATGTGGTTGTGCTGATCCTGGCCTTAAACTGACTGTGCCCTCAGCCCATCTGATCCTCAGCTTCCCTGCCGAGCTGCTAGGCACAATGATGCTTTCTGCATTTTGAATTTTTACCTAAAGGAGTACCATGGGTCATCACGTAACTTGCGAACTTAACCCAGTTTGAGCATTGGGGTGCAGTTRCCATCTCCTAAATGCAGGAGTCCCAGTGCAAGGAGGTGAGTCAGAGTATCTCAATGCTGCCTACCTGCTCCTTTGTGCTAGTCATCTGTAGCCTGGAGCAGAGGTCATCCAGTTGCTCCTTTTGCTCATGCCTCCCTAGACGGTCCAGGTATTCCCGCAACATCTGGATGATCTGAAACAAACCGGTGTAAGAGGCAAACATCAGAGAGCTGCACCAGGCTGGGGTGTCTTTACAGGAAAAATAAAATTGCAGTTGAATTGCCAAGTATGTAGCCTTGATGCTGCAGCACATGGCAGAGTACATGACCCCCAGAGACAAACACAGGCAAAGCAACTGCACAAGCACTGATGGCAGCATCAGAGTCCAATGAGTCACCACAGGCGTTCACCAGCCACACAAGGACTAGTTGTGATCCTTGTGCCTGGCTTAAGAACAGGGAAGAGAGATAAGCCCAGCTGCAGCCGCATAAGGTCTAGCCCTGAAAGCACCAAGCTTTTCTTTACGGCTAGTTAGCTCCCCTTGCTGTGAGGAGCAGGGACTACCCATTCCAGAAGGATCCACTTGTGCACAGAGGATAAAAATCCTTGTGGCTATGTGCCTCCCAAAGTGAGGCCCATGCCCCACGCATCTGCAGCTCCAGGAGTGCTTTCCTATTCCATGTATCCACACAATGGAGCAGGGTTGACTGCTAGGAATACAGAGCACRTTTATGCCATAGGTACAGCCTCGTGCTGTGGTCTTTCTCCTGCCACAAGGCATCTGTCTTATATGATGGATGAAGAAAAGAGAATGCTCCATACAGCCCAAGGATTCAGACACTCAATGCATCCTTGACTACCAGAGCCAAGGGAGGGCCTAGGAAAAATGAGAGTAGAGGCTGGGAAAAAGGAAGGTGTCTCAAAAGCAAAGGAAAAATCAAACTCTTCCCACAGCAGTTAAGAGCCTACAGACAGGTATTTCAACAAAGAGTGCAGGAGACTGCCATGGGCTGCACGACCTTACCAGAACATGGACCGTTTCTTTTACCTGTTTCACTTCAAGGCGTACGGCCTCCAGGCTGTGGGAGAGTCCTTCCTGCAGGATATTCAGCTTTGATTTAGCGAGGTGCAGTGGGGTTCTGCCAGCTCGATCCAAGGCATCAACTCTGGCCCCTGTTGGATGCATGAGCAAGGACACTGAGGTCTACCATCAAGATTTGGTGTCCCTGGGGAGTATCAACAGGACAGGGCAGGAAGGGGACAAGCTGTAATTGTTATAGAGGAAATGTTACCTCCGCGCAGCAGCGTGGTGATGACAGGAACGTGGTTCGTGCAGGCAGCTGGGGAGGGAAAACACAGGACACACAACTCAGAGGTACAAACAAAAATCTGAGTTTCTGCTCAGAGCTTTCTGCTTCCCAAAGGGCTTCTTTGTCATGGGAAAGAGGAACAGCCTAAATGCTAAGGTAACCTCACACTCAAGCCTGAGTATTCTCTCTGGAACAGATGCTGCACTCCTTGGGGATGGCAGAAGGAGGGAAATCAATTTTCTCCAACTTTTTCTCTGACCCTACAYATTTGTAAGGAGTAAATCTAATTAAGTGCAGAGTCCCTCCTGGATTCTTACATCTGGGGATACATTCTATGAGGCACAGGCAAGAGAAAGGTGGAGAGGAAAGGAACAGTAAGGTGGTATTAACCTCACCTCTCTGCATGCAAAGCTCATCTATGTGGCACTTACCCAAGTGTAACGGAGTGTTGCCCAGCCCATCTCTCTGGTTTGGGTCAGCCCCATGGTCCAGAAGCAGCTGCACTAGAAGCAAGGAAACAGAGCCACATCAGTCCCTTCCTCTTGCCCCAGAGGTCAGGCCCACATGAGCCACAGGTCCTTGTGTGAGCCAGTAGGCTGCCTTACAGGTGCTTCTGTTTTGCTCATCAGTTTCCTTACTGAGACGTCCCTGTCTCAGTAATGCTGTGCAGGGTTTTGCACAGTAATGCTGAAGGACCCAGCASAAAGCCAGGCAGTGCCACTGCCCCTGGGCTTCCTGCAGCAAAGAACTGTGAGGAAGGACACCCTTCCCTCTGCACCAGTACAGCCCTAAAACTGGGAGGTCCTGCTCTCTCTCCAGCAGGCAGACATGGCAAACACTGGGATCAGAGTTCAGCTGGCAACTTTTGACACAAAAGGAACAGAAAACAGCAACCTCTGCAAAGTGCTGAATCAAAATAAAGAGCACTCTTCCAAGTCCCTGCCACAGAGATGCTGGAAGACAGAACTCCCCATCYCCACTCACCAATGTGATCGTTGCCATTGCAGGAGGCAAAGTGCAGGGCTGTCCGGCCTTTGTCATCCGCAGCACAGGGGTCTGTTCCATCCTCCAAGAGTTGCTGCACTGACAGCACCAAAGAGAAGAGAGCAGGTAAGCTGAGGGGGCACCTTCAGAGAGGATAATGCTGTCTGCTCTTCTGGGGGTAGACACATATGCTGTCAGCCACTAAGTCAACTGGACTTGAACCAGTTCCCACCAGCAACCTAGCTCAACAGAACCAGCCTAAGCAGCATAACCTCCACCCTCTGATTCAGCCTTCAGTACTTCCCACACATTGCCATAAAAGATAAGCCAACAGCTCTAACGGCTAAGGATCCATCTAGACATATCTTCAAGCTCCAAGGACAATCAGCAGCAAATGCCCAGAGAATAGAACAGGAAGGATATGGGGCTAACTCTCAGTTAGCTAACTCAGGGGCTAACTCTGTCTCAGTTTTAGACAGCTGCATTTCAGGCACTTACCAATCTAGAATTAGCATCCTAGTCTTAGTACCTCTCCATGGGCTTTCCCTGTGGATTTGCATGATCCTTTCCTGCACTTGTGTAAACTTTTCACATCAACATGGACCTGTGGTTGGAAGTTTCACAGTGTAACCACAGATAGTGAGAAAAGCCACTTCTTCATAGCTGTTTTGACTATGACCCTTCAATGGTGGCTACGGTTCAGGAAGTAGGCAAGGGAGTGTACTGACCTGCCAAGAGCAGTGCAAAGATACCAGTAAAGGCTGGAAAGATTAAGGGTATAAAAATAGCACTTAAACATGTATAAGGGCAACTGTAAAGGCTATTACTCCTGTTGTTTTGAGATCATCCTGATACAGTAATTGGTGTGTAAAATAAAGCTCATTCCATAGCTGTTAAAAATGCTGACAGGTTCACTATATTTTGAGATCTTTGAAACAGCATATTCTACAAAAGTCAAGACTGTTAAAGGCTTCTGAAAGTCACCATTCATCTCAGCTTCCAAATTATAGCCACCTTTGAATTTCTTCCTGTACACCTTCTACTTCCCAGTGTGATACAGAACTGAAAGGATCACCTGAAAAGATGGAATTGGCATTAACATGGAATGTTTGATACTTCAGAAGAAAGACAGGGAGATTTGCAGTGCCTCAGTAAGAGCCCTYAAGGGGAACACTTAAGCTACTCTTCCCCTGAACCAAGTAGAAAGAACATTACCTCTCCCACCCAGTGTCACCACAGGAAACAGCAAAGATGTTTACTTGTTGATGAAGAATAAATAACCATAAGACAACTTCCTCAAATTGCAGAGTAAACAAAACACAAGAGGATTGTAAACACAGGAACCTGCCTATCAAATCCAAGCTGGACTGAAACTAAGACTTGCATAAAGCTGCATTCTTTCATCCTCCTGTTGGAAACGATATAACTGTTTAATAATTTTACTCAGTGGTTTCAATTAACTTTGAAGTTAATAGTTTCAGTTAATCATAATTTATATATATATATATATATATATACACACACATATAAAAATTATACGCATTGTGTTATTCTTAAATTATTCTTAGCCAGCATTTAGCAATGCCATCATAAGGTACTTTTGTAGGAACACAGCTTGGGGAAACTACTGAAACATTAACTTTTGATAAATGAACTCAGATATGCTTCAATGAACAAAACCAGGGGAAGATGTATTGCTGAGGTTGGACATCTGGAATGTAGAATTTATGGACCACAAGGACTCTGCAGAAACCAGAAGATAAAGAAGACACTAACAAAGACTCAGTAAAGGTGTTGGAAAGTGCCTACTGAAAGAAAAAGATACTAAAAAGACTAAAAATATGGACTAATTAGCATGAGAAGCAAGAAATCAATAACCAATAGAGGACASAATATTAATTAATGAAAGAGAATTATATAACTTAGAACTGATGAACATTAATTTTTTTGTTTGCTAAATATGTATAAGTGAAAAAGTTTTATTCCTTTGCCTTGAGAAATATGTGAATTTTGTCAGCCACACACACCCCTCCTGGTCAACAATAAAGTAATGTTTTACTCACTAACACTAAAAAGGTATTTTTTATATATATTGTAAAACTATATAAGTGACTATCAAAAGGTGTGGTTCGAGTCCTCACCCTCTGCTTTGTTCACAGATTAGTTGGACACAGTGCTGCTTGCACAAAGAACCACGTTGTGGACAGGTTTTGCCCAGATATTTCTGTACTTATTAAAGCCTATGTTATGTGTTAGTGCTGGAAAATGTGGGAATGTGGTAAGGTTTGCTAAAGGTATAAATTGCCTTTGTATGAAAATTCATTTGTGGTAAGAGTGTTSAAGCAGTTGTAGGTTTACTGTGAATCTTACAGTATTTGGTGTGTACTGTTTGTTTTTCAGTAACGTAAATGTAAATTATTAAAGTGAGGATTGTTTGCTCCGATCTCTCCCCGTGGCGTTAGCACCGCAGCKGCTGCCGTTTTAGTGATTGGAATTGTATTTGTGTGCGTAGAGCGCTCTCTACTGCCAGTTTTAGTGCTTGCTGAAATTTATATTTACTAAGTTTTTCTCCTCGAACCGGGAAGAGGGGGAAAACCCAAATGTTCACCTTTAGGTTGTATTTTGCAACTGGGAAGAGTTTAAAAGAAATTTTTTTAACTCGGAAACAGTTAACAGAATATTGTATCTTCTGCTGGTCAGTTTATTAGATAATCAAGAAAAATGGCTAGTTCCTGGTAGTTTACCACAATTATTTACAGCTGTTATTTTGCCAAAATAAAGAGAAATTGAATGAGATACCGTACGTAGTAAATCAAGTAGCAATGAGACAAGTAGCCAAAGATAAACACCGAGAAATACACTGGAGAGCAGAAGCTATTAAAGGTGAAGCATCAAGTAATTAGTTTAAAAATGACAGGAATAATCAAAAGTGTAGTCAGTAAGTGTTTGGAAAACAATCCAAAGTCCTACAAAAGACCTCCTTTAGAGACTACAACAAGAAGAAAATGTCCTGGAGTTAATAGGCAAATTGATTTTTCTGAGTTACTTGGACAAGAGGGATATTAATACCTGTTGGTTTTAGCTGACACATTTTCTGGATGGCCTGAAGCTTTTCCTTGTTGTACCAACAAAATAAGAGAAGTTATCAAAATACTATTAAAATATAGTATTTTGATATAATACTATAATACCCTGATCTGGAATTTCATTGGGAATGAATGATATATATGATATATGATATGATATATGTCTTATAACAAGACACAAATGAAATTTTTGCATTTTATTGTCTTACGTTTTGCTAGACACTTAATGATTTAAGTGGAACTAATCTTAAAGGAAAGTTAAGGTCACTTCTAAAGGGGGGAATTGTTGGAAATGACAGAACATTAAAATAGTTTCAGTTAAAGGTTTTAATTGTATTTTAAATTAATTGCTTAGACATAATCAATATATATTTATTGATTATAAATWATGTGTTATCATATTGCTCTTAGCCAGCATCTCACAAAGTTATCATAAGTTACTTTTGTAGGAACACAGCTTCGGAAAACTACTGAAACTTCAAGTTTTGATAAACTAACTCTGATATGCTTCAATGAACAAAGTCTGGGAGAAAAAGATGTATTGTTGAGGTTGGACATTTTTAACGTAGAATTTACAGGCCACAAGCACATTTTGCAGAAACCAGAAGAAGGTAAGAGACCATCTCTGGCCCTGGTTCTAACCTGCTGGGTCACACTGCTTCATCATACAGGGTATGGCATAGACGATCCTAACTTTTCCCCCAAATAAAAACATTATTCTCTTGCTGCTAACAACTGGGTAAAAAAAAACATATCAAAACATCTGGAACAATGCAGTGCTGATTTAGCTCCAGGCAGATGGAAAACTAACACTATGAACTAGATGTAGGGGAAAAGTCAACACTATAACCAGCCCCACTCTGCTCAAAGAACAAACCTAGGCTTCAAAGAAGCATTTTCTAGATCTGAAGCATCTAAAGCACCCTGTCCACAAACTATCTGCACCCTCTTCCTCCTATCCTGAAGTAAGAGTCTTTGATATGCTGCYCTYCYAAGAAGTCCTAAGTGGGACTGATAGAAGCCTTACCTGTGTCCAAATCATTGCTATTGGCAGCCTCACGCAGTCTTTTCAGAGCTGTGGGATAAAGAAAATAATTATTAGAAAGAGGAAAAAGGCACGTTTCCCTACTGAAACACCCCATCCTGGTGCTCGAGCACAGGTACGGGGCCAAGTCACACTGCTGCTGGCTCAGTCCAGAGGAAGGGAAGGAGGAGATGAAGACACCAGGTAAGAATCGTTCTCCTTGTCTCCTCCCAAAGTCGGTCACGAGCCCGCCCACTCCTGAAGGGCACCCTCCCCTGATAGGACCGGAGAAGCCTTCCCAAGACGCCCACCCAAYAGATCGGACCTCCCTCCCGATGTCCCGTTCGGAGCCGGCCGAAGGAAGGGTGGTTCCGGAGCGGGACATGGACTCTCCGCCCCCCGCCGCTCACCGTACGCCTCCTTGCCCGTAGGCCCCAGCCGGCGGTGCAGGCGGGCGGCCCTGCGCAGGCGGCGGGCCGGGATCTTGCCCGCGGGCTCCTCCCGCTGCCACAGGACGTGCAGGTAGCCGAAGGGTCCACCCGGCTCCAATGACGGCAGCATGACGCGCGGCTCTGGCTCTGGTTCTGGCTCCGGTCCCGGTCCCTGTTCCGGTCCCGCGCCGGGCGCCGCGTCTGCCCCACCGCCACCCTCCATCCCGTCACGGCCCGATCCGGGGAGAGGGGCGGGGCGTCACCATAGCAACAGGGCGGGCCGTGACCTCTCGGCCAATGGACGGCGACACAAGCTGCGCATACAGCCAATGGGGAAGAAGCGGGTGGGAAAGAGGCGGGGCGGGAAGTGGAGGCTATGCGCAGGAGAACCTGACGGGCAGACGTATTACCCAATCAGATAGAGGATGGGGCCGCAGCCCGCCCATGACGGCTCAAGCGGCCCAAGACAGGCAGTTGTTTTAACCAATAGAAATAGCTCAGCCTTCGCAGTGCCCCCCTCCCGGCACCTTGTGTCCGCGCCGGGCCGGGCCCGAGTTTCCGCCCGGAGCCCTTTCCGTGCACGCCGCCGCCATGGCCTACCCGGGGGAGGACTACGACAACGAGGTGCGGGCGGAGGCGCGGGGGCTCGGGGGGGAGCGGGGGTCGTGTCCGGGCTGTTCGCGGGGACTCATTGCCACTCTCTCCCCACAGGCCGCTTACGACCCGTACGCGTACTCCAATGACTATGATATGCACACGGGTGAGTGTGAGGGCCCCAAGAGCGCCCCGGGCCTGCTTGCGCCCGGCTGGGTCTGTTGGCCGGGCGGCTGCCTCACTGCTCCTCCTTATCCGCAGGAGACCCGAAGCAAGACCTGGCCTACGAACGCCAATACGAACAGCAGACCTACCAGGTGATCCCCGAAGTGATCAAGAACTTCATTCAGTATTTCCACAAGACAGTGTCAGATCTCATTGACCAGAAGGTGTACGAGCTTCAGGCCAGCCGTGTTTCCAGTGATGTTATTGATCAGAAGGTGTACGAGATCCAGGACATTTATGAGAACAGGTATAGTACTACCCTTCCAGCGAATGGAAATCGYTGTTTAAACTGTGATGCCCTTAAGAGGAAAGGCTGATTATTACCTGTGCCGTTCCAAACTTGGGCTTTCTTTAAAACAGGCTTGGTTTGATTACTGGGAAAAAAATAAACCCCAGATATATTCAGCCCATTAGGCTAACATAAGTGTCGGTGAGTTGTAACCTGCCTGAAGAAAAGCATCAGCCCTGGCCTAACAGGTGGGAAGGCTGCAAAAGGGAATCTCAGTCATGCTAGTCAGAAAGCTGTGAGGTGTAACTTGTGTCTCTTCGCAACAGCTGCTTCCACTCCTGCTTGTAGCTGTGTCATCATAAAAGGAATGCAGAAGTGGCACACAGGGTTGTTCTGAGCCTGAGGAATAAATTGAAGTCTGATTGCTTAGTTTGCAATTCTTATTCTTTGCTTCAAMATTGGGCTTACTACCCGGGGTTGGTGGTGCTGCTTAGCTTTCACCAAGTCCAGGGCCTCTCTGTTGTCATCTCTGACTCCAGCACTGTCATACTGAGAGASAAGTGGCTTCTCATACCACATGTGTGTCTGTCTTTCAGCTGGACAAAACTGACAGAAAGGTTTTTTAAGAATACTCCATGGCCAGAGGCTGAGGCCATTGCTCCTCAAGTTGGAAATGGTGAGTCTTCCACTTTCTCTTTGGCTGTCAGAGAAAGAAGGAATAGAATCAATTCTGATCCCGAATTAGCAGGGGCACAGCGTTGTTCCTGCCTGAGTCAGTCGCCTTTGTTTGCTCTGGCAGCTCCTTCAGCAGATGCCTGTCAAGAAATCAGACTTGAGCAAAGTGTCTTTTTGTGCCTCCCTTTATTGTTGTGGCAGGAGGCTGATAGGCCTTGTGGCTTGCTAATGTCTCCTTCTGTCATCTTTTCCAGATGCTGTTTTCTTGATCCTTTACAAGGAGCTGTACTACAGGCACATCTATGCCAAAGTCAGCGTGAGTGTTGGCCCTGTGTCTCCTTACAGACTGTGTGCTGGCTTCTCTGCCAGCAAACTTGTCAAATTTTATTGCYACTACAGTATCAATGGTCCCCTAATCTTTGCAAGACAGGATTGGATGGGTTCATGAGCTATAAGTCAYGTTGGTTTTAGGGAAGTTTAAAATTCTTGCCTTTACTTAGTATAGTAAGGATTCACTGATTGCTGAAAAGCAAGAAAGACTTGACTGTCTGCCTGAGCATTGTTAGCTCTCTCTTCAAGCTTGGTGGTGATGAGTGTACAGGTTTCCCTGGTAGCTCAGATGAATTAGGAGACTGGATCTGAGTTTTCAGGAGGCTGTTTGTTGCTAACATCAAATGTAATGGTTAGTGAGTTAGGGAAGAAGGGGCTGTTGGAAGGTAATTGAATTTTCCTTTTTATTGCTTTTGTGTGTTTCTTTGTGGCTGTTCTTCAAATGAGCAGGTGGGTGAGAAGGGATGTTACAAGAGGAAGATGAATTATTTGTAATTAAAAACCTGACATTGGATCGGAGCCCAATGATGGAAGAGGGAAATATGGATGCCATGAAGGATGGAGAAGAATGAAATGAAAGGAGTAATGCTCTGTGAAACAAAACAAACCTTGCCTTTTTTTAAGCTGCTTTGAAAGCAGTGGGAAAATTATAGTATTTGGTTCTTAAAGGAAAAAATCTGAACAGATGAGTGACTTAGGGGTAAATAAGTAATAACTGCAATTTTTATGTGGACCAGAGGGTGGAGAAATGCGCACTTTTAAAAGGCTACTGTGTTAACTCAAGCCAGGCTTTAACAAGAGGAACTGGTTTCTCAWGCTGTGCTGTTAGTGATTCTCAGACTCAGTGTCTCCAGCTGAAACAGGAACCAGTAGGTCAAAGTGTTTAGAAATGCTGTCCAGAAACAGAATTGTTCGTTTGTTAAGGCCTCTCATGAGTAGAGAAGGAAGGGAAGCTGATTAAGGTAGTAGAAAGTTCTTAAGTGTGAACAGCAGAGACGAACAGGGAAGGTTAATGCAGAATATTTACAGGAGGTTTGACTGTTCAGTCRTGCCGGGAGAAGCTACCTGTACAGGAAAAGTCATCCCTGTTCTGTGGGACAATAGTGCTACAGTTTCAGGTTTTCTGGGTGATGTCCTAGTTGAATACTGGCTCTAGCACTCTTCAGCTATTGTGACTGTCCTTATGCTGTTGCGTGTGAACTCCCTCCTGCCCTGCTTGAAATGAAGGAGACTGTACTGACTTCTTTTCACAGGGGGGGCCCACACTGGAGCAGAGATTTGAGTCCTATTACAACTACTGCAATCTCTTCAACTACATTCTCAGTAAGTTGCTGCAATTTATTTCTGTTGTCTGTTTTGGAGAAAGAGATTGGATGGAGAGGGCAGAGCTGGAGAAAGGGTCAGAAGAACTGCAAAATAYTTGTTCATAAATAATAGAGTGAAAGGTAGTCTATAAACTTCGCATGTTTGAGTTTGTTGAATGAAAAGCAATTTACATCCATGAATTTAAAACCACAAAAAGCAGAAATAGTTTCAGTGCTTTCTGAAATACTGTAAAAAACAAAACTTACTTAGCTTTCTGTCTTGCTGTGAACTGCTTCACCTATCTTTTGTAAAAAGTAAAATAAAAGTGTAAGCTAAAGAAAACTTGCAGTGTTTCACAACTGTTTACTGTTAACTCCCCTTGGAACAAATATTAGTGTCAAGCCTCATGTGGAGAATGGATCAGTTAGGATAAACCTCTATCATCTGTGTGCAGTTTCTGAGAGTTGATGCTGSTGAGCAGTCACACTCTAGAGATTAACCCTGTGCACGTTCACAGTCTTTGAAAGTGAAGGCAGTTGAGGTAGTCAAAGCTACATATCACTGCCCTAGTGGAAGCTTCATTCATCTGTTGCTACATCTCCTATTTCAGGGAAATTCTTGTGTTCTTTTATTTGTCTATTCCTCCAGTTCTGAAAATGTTATTGCTCAAAGTATTAACCCTCTTATCTATTCTCCTGCAGATGCTGATGGCCCTGCTCCTCTGGAACTGCCCAACCAGTGGCTCTGGGATATCATTGATGAATTCATATACCAGGTACATGACTATAAAACTTTGCCATTTTGGGGTGACCTTCCCTTTACTAGTTGTATAAATTTTCCGTGTCTTCCTTTACTGTGATTTCTATAGCAAGGGTACCATTGCAGTTTGAAAATCTTTGATGATCACTGTTACTCTTGTGTTACCAGGTAGATGAAGTACTTTTCAATGTACAGATTTTTAAATTACAGGGTGCTCTTTGAGGAGTCCTGAACTTTTGTTTCAGAACAGAAGTTCTGTCTTAGTCAGTAGGGCCTTTATGCTTGCACTGAGAGACTGATGACCTGATTTGAAATAAGCTATGATCTGACATCCTGACATAAAGAAATACTTTTCCACTTACTGTTCTGAGTGAAGCAGTACAGATGTCAAATGTTATTGGTTTTTTCTCCATAGAGAATGTATTCCTTTTTCTGTAACTTTTTATTATAGAGCTGCCTGGAATTCCTCAAGTGTTGTCYTGTCAAGCTTGAGAACTAAAATGATGTGTACATGTAGAGAAAAAACATGTGTGTATGCAAACACAATTTGGTTGTTCTCTGCCTGTTCAGACAGAAAATTTGTGTTTATTTGCCTGTCCTAATTGTTTAAGAGATCATTTTCTGTTTCAATCTGTCTCCTGGCCTTTTCCTTCTSTACTGTGTAATTTTTTAAGTGCTTTAAAAGTGGTATAATCTGCTATTTTGATTTCAATGTGATGTCACATGAAACCTTGTTTTTGSTTGCAACTTGTTGTTTATTGTAATGCATTTGTGTGAACAAGCTGTAAGCTAAATGCACTTAGCTGAGCATCTCCAAACAAGCTGCTCATCATTGAATCTCTGCTTTTTCCTGTAGTTCCAGTCTTTCAGCCAGTATCGCTGTAAAACAGCCAAAAAGTCTGAAGAGGAAATTGATTTCCTTCGTTCCAACCCCAAGATCTGGAATGTCCACAGTGTCCTTAATGTGCTGCACTCTCTGGTGGACAAATCCAACATCAACCGACAGCTGGAGGTCTATACAAGTGGAGGTGAGCTTTGGCTGGTGCCCAGCAGGACTCGTGTCTCTGCTGCCTTGCTTTGATTTGGCCCAACATGGTTAACTTTGTTTGGAAGCTGGATCAAACCCATAATCGATGGATTGGCTGG